GCCGCCAGCCTGGTCGCGGGAAGAGGCAGAGGGCTGGGTGGCAGCGGGTGGCTGGTTCGTGCGGTGCCAGGTGCGGGGTCTGCTGGCTGGGTGCTGGCAGGCTTGCACCTGGCACGGGCACCGTAGCCAGCCCGTGCCCCTTTAAGGGGGCCGGGAGGGGGGCAATAGAGTTTCCCTGGTGTTGGCCAGAGTAGCCACCAGGGAAAGCTGGGGAGGGCTAGCCTCCCACTAGTTCGAATTAAGGGGCTACACACCCCTTCGAACTAGTAAGTTCGAACTAGGCTTAGTCCTCGTAGAATGAGGTTTTCCTAGTTCGAACTAAGCGCTCCGCTAGTTCGAATTAAGTTCGAACTAGCGGAGTGCTTGTGTAGCACCTATCAAAGTTAATTCGAACTAACGTCCGTTAGTTCGAATTAACTTTGTAGTGTAGACATACCCTAAGAGTGTTCTCCCTTTAACTTTCTGCAGTGTGGACAGCGCCAAAATTCGAGTTAAGATACTTCGACTTCAGCTATGCAATTAACGTAGTTGAAGTTACGTATCTTAATTTGACCTTGTGCCGTAGTGTAGACTTACCCATCCAGATTAATGAAGATTTTAAACAAAACCAGCCCCAGGACAGAAACCAACTACCAATTAGACATCAAGCCGTTAATCAGTACCCATTCAGCCCAGCCATCTAGCCTGCTTTCTATTCAACTTATAGTTCATTCATTCAAGCCATACGTCTTTATCTTGCTGGCAAGAATACTGTGGGAGATCTTATCAAAAGCTTTGATAAAGTAAAGACAGATGCCATCCTCTGCTTTCCCCATATCCACAGAGCCATTGTCTACAAATGAAACTTTGACTTAAAGAATGAATGACCCATCTGAGCTGTGGCTGACTGGCGGTAGTCCAGAGGAACTTTACAGCCAGCAAATTCGCCAGTACTGCTAGGAACCTGATGGACTTTGAGTCTTTTTTAGTTGTTTCTTTATAATAACCTGTAGTTTAAGATGCTAAAGGATTGGCTGGCTGGATGGGATTTTGGATAAGATGCAAACCCAAAGTGACCTGATAACGTGGCTAAACCTTTGGGATCAAGAAAATGTTTTGTATCATGAGCAGAGGTTTAAAATAACTTCTCAGTGTATTGGAGCTGGGTACTAAAAGCCAGAGAACTGGAAGGCAGCAAGGGGAGGAGGTGCATGGACTCAATAGGTTTAACCAATAAGCCCAGGCTTATTGATTAATCATCTAGTTGACCACAGGTTGACATCCCTAGTGGGAAGAGGCTGGGTGCTGGGAAAGGAGTGGGGGAGTCCAGGCTAGAAATGTGATTGGGATGATAGGGGAGGTTTGTGGGGTGATGTGTTGGTGAGAGGAGGGGCAGGAGCTGGCCATGGGGAGGCTCGTACCTTGGTCTCACGGCAGCCCTTGTCCGTGTTTGTCTTTAGGTCTATAACTTGCTCCCTGATTTTCACCAAAAAGACTCCTATCAAGGTAATAAGTCATGTTACTGTCAGTACAGTAATACAGCTCTGGTTCTGGCTACTACTGTCGACAATCTGCCGAGGAGCATTTCGAAATTCTGGAGGCGGCGCAGAGGGACTCGTGGCAGGGCTGTCCCACTGACAGACCCCAACGGCCTGTTTCAGGTAGGGTTGTGCCTGGCCCTGCCTCTGGCTCCTTTGTAGCCTGAAAGGACTAAACTGGCTCCGCCATGCCCAGGCTGCTGGGGCGACGTCCCACCAAACAGTCTGACCTGTTCTAGAGACACCCCAGGGATGCTCCTCGCAAACTCAGGGTCGGGCTGCACCTCCCCCGCCTCCTTCAGACCCAGCTCAGGCCCTGGGACTGATTCCCGGCGTATGCACACAGCAGGAACGATACCCCCGGCTCCTGGGCTCAGGGATCTGATGCGGGGGCAGCTGCACCATGACCAGTTATGGCTGCCTGGCAGTTCCTGTTACAGCCCAGCCGCGCTGTACGTTCAAGATACGATAAAAAAAAATTGGACTTAAAGTGAAATAACTTAACGTGGGGAATTATTTTCCTGCTGTTGACTCCCATTTGCGCAAACTGGATTTTTTGGTGTGACTTAAGAGCGGGGGATGGGAGGATTTATCACCCATCAGTTCCAACGAGCGTCAGTGACGTCTGTGCGTAACGGGTGTACACCGGGTGACTTACAGTGGGGACGCCCTGTGTGAGTTTTCAGTTCCTGTGACTTTCAGACTCAAACGTCTGGGGCAGAAATTCCCCGGCCAGGAGTCGGCCAGGAGTCGCCTCCGGCTGAACTTTCTGAGGGTTGCGGCTAACACGGCCTGGAGTTGCCCCGACAGGGGGAGGGGAAAATACTCGGCGTCCCATGATACACGGAAGCTCTTTCACTGAGAAGCTCCCTGCCTCGGAGCAGACTGGACCCTTGGCCGGGAGGTCGCTGTGGGGTCGGGGAGGTGCCCGTTGCCTTCCTGTGAGCTTCAGCCCCACATGGCTGGGAACCCCGGGAAAGGTGCGACTCACATGCCCAGCCGAGGGTTGGAGTGCGGCTGCCTTACAGGGCTGAGTCTGGGATCCTGGGGTGGCTGGATTCCTGAAATGGCCCCCCCCGGCCAGCAGTGCTCCGGTGGCAGTGGGCGCGGGGACAGAGCTCACAGAGACGGTGCCACCGGTGCTCTCTGTGCTTCCCTGCTGGTCCCAAGCAGCCTGGAGGCCCCTGAGTGGCAGGTGCGGAGGGACGCAAGGACACGAGCATCGGCCGGGGGAAGGGCCCAGCCACCCGCACCCGACTGGGGAAGCCAAGCTGGCTCTTCAGTGCGGGGCTGGGCAGCCTGGATCCCTCGCGGTTCACGTCCCTCCCCTCACGTCACACGTAGGGATGGAAGCAAGTGCAGGTTGGGCCGCCCTGGCCTGGCACCCCCGGGACCTGACTGGTCCCAGACGAGGGATTTTGTGGGACCAGGGGTTCCTAATGCAGAGCCTGGATCCTGCTGCTGCTTCAGGCAACCCCTCAACCTCTACTCTGGGCTACTGCACATGATGCTCTTCCTGCCCTTCTGGGAAGTCCTACTGCTGTGCATGGGGCTCCCACAGCACTGCCAGGAACCCTGCTGCCCTGCCAGCCTGCAGGGCTCCCAGGCGCTCGCCCTCCAGTGGGACCCTCTGGTCCTGGATCATCCAAGGACCACGGATGTGGCCAGAACAGAGAGTCCCGGTTACAGTTTCAATCTGTGGTCGAGTCGGCTACTCCCATCCCCCCACCTGCTGTCTCTGTATGACAGGTATCAAGGAGGGGGAAGCAGGAGCTGGTGCTGTGGGGAGCCGACTTAAAATCTGGTTCCCCCCAGCACTGTCTCCTGCCCCCTGCCCCTCCCAGGCGCTCGCCCTCCAGTGGGACCCTCTGGTCCTGGATCATCCAAGGACCACGGATGTGGCCAGAACAGAGAGTCCCGGTTACAGTTTCAATCTGTGGTCGAGTCGGCTACTCCCATCCCCCCACCTGCTGTCTCTGTATGACAGGTATCAAGGAGGGGGAAGCAGGAGCTGGTGCTGTGGGGAGCCGACTTAAAATCTGGTTCCCCCCAGCACTGTCCCCTGCCCCCTGCCCCTCTGCCTCTCTCAGAAGCAGCAGCGCAGGCGAGGTGGAGGTGGAGGTGCAAAGCAGACCCTGTCTGTGGTGGCCTGGGCTGGCCATGAATAGCGGCTCCTGACGCTTTTTCTTTCTCGCTCAGGATGCAGCTTTGACACTTCTCACCAACACCCGCATCTGTGAGCATGAACGAGGTCAGTGCTCTGGGAGCTTCCATCCCTTGTGGTCAGCAAACCCCAACCCTCTCAGCCCCCCAGGGGAGATGGCCCCAGGGGCTCCTGCATCGGGCCTGGGACCTGGGTTCTGATCCTGGTTCTGACAGTGCCCTTGGCAGATCCATTGTTCTCCATAGGAGGGGGAGGCGGGTTTCCCCATTGTCCTCAATGGGCCTCTCTGGGCCTCCCTGTCCCAGCTGCTCAGTGTGGCTAATGACCGGCCCGTCTGGCTCGCGGCTCCTCGGCGGGCTCTGGAGGGCAACGTCCCACTAACCCTGTGTGGGCAGAGGCCGGGCTGAGCTCTGGAGCTCTCTGGCTACAGCCACATGCTGAGTCCACTGGGGTGCCTGGGCCGCTGGCTGCTCCAGTCCAGACAGACCTGGGCAGGGGCCAGTTCTCAGAGCTCCCGGTGGCCACGTCCATCCCCAGAATGGCCCCAAGCATCGAAACTTTCAGGTGCAGACACACGTGAGCTACGTGACCCCCCCTCCCCGCAAAGCACCATGGGGTCCCCTCACCCCCCCTTTGGATCTTTGCTAGGCTTCGGTTGGGAAGTATGTCGCTATAGGAGAGAGGAGCCCCCACGGATCGTTGCTCAGACAGAGCTAGGGCCCTGTGCCCAGGCGGAACCGGCACCGCATACGTACTTCCCAGAGACGTGGCTATGGGACCTGGTGGCTGTGGGGTGAGTGAGGGGCTGTCACACACCGTCCCTGCCAGGCCTCTGGGCCAGACCCTGGGAAGCAGCCGCTCCCGGATGCAGCACCCTGGCGGGGGGGCTGCCCACGTGGGGCTGGTTCCGGTGCCTGTTGCCAGCGAAGAGGAACCCAGCACAGCGGTGGCAGTGAGGAGGAGAGAGGCAGAGTGCTGGGAGCCTGGGGAGCCCTGGGACCCTGCATCTCACCAGCAAAGCGGGTTCACCCCAGCTCCTGCCCTGCTGTTCCCTGGGGCCTGCCGGTGCCGGCAGGTGGTTTGTCACCCTGACCCCAGTGCCCCTGTGGTGTTTCCATTCCTACCCACTGCCCAGATGTCAGCACTGAGAAGGGTGGGGTTTGGACCCCTGGGGGCATTGAGAGTGAACATGGAGGGCAAGTGGGAGGGCGGGGATCCCAGCAGGGGAAATTCAGGCTTGTTCCCAGTAATAGCCCCTGACAGGGAGTTGTGTCCAGCTGCAAAACGGGAGAATGCTCATCCCATGGGACACTGAGCCCAGCCCAGGATGCCTCGCAGACGCTGGAGACTGGCCTGTTTCTGGGCACTTGGCTCAGGGCCCCAGCCCAGGGGAGGGGAGGGCCGGGACGTCTCTGCTGGCTCTGCCAGTGGGGCTCCCCCAGGGAGGCTGCGTCTGATGCTCTGTGTGCTCCTGTCCGTGCCCAGCGACGGGGGCTCGACGGACGTCCCGCTCTCGGTGCCCGACACCCTCACGCAGTGGAAAGCCGGGATGTTCTGCACGGCGGAGGGGGGCTTTGGGCTCTCCCCCACGGCCACCCTCACAGTCGTCAAGCCCTTCTTTGTGGAGCTGGCCTTGCCGTACTCCGTGGTCCGGGGAGAGGCCTTCACCCTAAAGGCCACCGTCTCCAACTCCCTGCAGCAGTGCATCAAGGTGAGCGCCGCCCAGGGCTGCCCTGCCCAAGCTGCTGGGGCTGGTGACTGGGGGCTGGGCAGCAGCACAGGGAAGGCAGTGGCACTAGCAGCCCCTGGCTGTGATCTGGACACCCCACAGTGACCCTCAGGAGGGCAGGTGGGGCCTGAGCCTAAGAGGGGCCCCATGTTGCCCTGGAGCTGGCGCGTGTGAGTGCGGCCCCCACACTCCTAAGGGGCTCTCATGTCGGATCCACAGGTGCGGGTGATGCTGGCGAAGTCGGCGCAGTTCCAGGTGCAGGCGAGTGATGACGGCGCCTACACCAGCTGTCTCTGTGCAGACGAAGGGAAAACTTTCCAGTGGGAGGTGACGGCAAGTAGCCTGGGTAAGGGGCACTGGGGCTCTGAGCCGGGGGAGGGGTGAGAAAAGCACGCAGGCGAGGGGCTGCCAGAGAAAGGCTGCCTTCATGCTAAGCAGGCAGGTGGGGCCTTTGCAAGTGGCTGGGGGTGTTACTGGGGTCTGTAGAATCCACCGCAGCGGTAACTTTACAGTTTGAGTGGGAGCTGAAATTCCCTCTGCTAAAAGACGAATGCCAGTACGTATGAGTATCTAAAGCGTCAGTTCTTGAGATTTCAGCGTCCACAGACACAAGCAACTGTTCTCCTTCGAATAGTGTCCCTGTGGGTGCTGCATTCAGATCTCGGTGCATCCTCGCGCTGCTGATTGGAGATTTGGCCTAGCAGTGCCTTCCTGCACCACGCATATACAGTCACTTTCTCGCACTAGTTTTTCCCATTAGATAAGGACGTGGCATGATCCTCCCTCAGTTCTTTTTCTATTGTCTTTGGAAGAAGACGGAGTCACAGCAGTGCTCTCCTTTCTGACAGATAATTGAAAAATAATGTAGTTAGTTGACCAATTGTCAGTAGTTTTAATTAGCATAAGAATAGTTTCACCTAGTTCTTTAGGAAGGAAAGCAAGCAAGCAAGCAAGCCCTTCTTCCCCAGTTTTTTTCCCTTCTTCACTTGTTTCTCTCCAAGTTCTGATTCCTCACATTCTTTCTACATCCCAAGGTCTCCTGGCTTCAAGAAATGTGATTCATGTGTAAGCAGGGTCAGGATAATCTCTACTCGGACATCTGGTGGTGAATTGTGGCGGGTGGTGCAAAATGACTTCAGGGGCTGATCTTGTTTGCATAGGCACACCCACCCCGCCTAATATGTGCTCACAGCAGCCCAAATGGTCACTTTGGCCACTGTGGGATCCCCAGTCTCTCTGTTATTGAGGCAGGGGGGATAAAGTGTTGTTACCCTGATTATGCAAATCAAGGACAGTGGAATAGTAGAACTGTTTTATGACAGAGGGATTCGCCATAAACTAAGTAGCACTCACTAGACAAGGGGCTAGTTAGTTCCAAGCCCAGTCAAACTGAAAGAGGCTGGGGATAGGTGTTTGTACCCGGTAGTAGGGCCCTATCTGAGGGCCTAAAAAACAGCAATTGCACCCCCTCCTCTCTCCAGTGTGGAATATTGGAGCTAATTTGGATTCCATTAGGAGTCTAGTTGCAAGCTGCTGAGCTGACTTAACTGTGGGCCAATGTTTTACTAGTACTGGGGCTCCTCTACTATGAGCATGAGCTGAGCTTGCTGAAGAGCTGAAATCACTGTGTGCTGTGGGGAGCCTGAAGTTATACTGCTGAGCTACTAGCAGAGCAGTTCGTGGGACAGCTAGTAGAGCGGTTGTGGGAATGACCGGCAGGCAAAGGCGGCCAGCAGAGCAGCTGGCGAGGACGACCGGCAGGCAGCCAGCAGGAGTGGCAGCAGGCAACCAGTGGAGCAGCTGCAGGAACAACCAGCTGGTGGCCAGGGGCATGGACTGAGACGGCTGGCGGAGCAGGGCAGTTCATGGGATGGCTGGAGCGGCTCACGGGACAGCAGGTGGAGTGTGGCGGAGTGACTTGCATTGACGTGGCAGCAGAACCTTACGGAGAGGCGGAGCCCGTCATCAGACCACGTAAGGGCTATGTCTACACTGGTGCGATCTGGCGTTCACCCAGCAGGGTTTTACCATCCCAACCTGGGTGGAAAGAAGGGGGAGGGGGTTGATACACCTTGACTATGTCTACACTGGTGTGATCTTGCACCAGAAGTATGCAAATGAGGCTAAGTGTGGACTATTGCCGAGCCTCATTTGCATATCTAATGAGCCGCTATTTTTGCAGAAGAGGCGCTTGTGCCAGAAGGAGCTGTCTACACTGCTCCTTCTTGCACAAGAAAAACCCTCTTGCACAATGCTGTTATTCCTGAAAATAATCAGCGTAACGGCATTGCGCAAGAGGGTTTTTCTTGCGCAAAAAGGAGCAGTGTAGACAGCTCCTTCTGGCACAAGCGCCTCTTCTGCAAAAATAGCGGCTCATTAGATATGCAAATGAGGCTCGGCAATAGTCCACACTTAGCCTCATTTGCATACTTCTGGTGCAAGATCACACCAGTGTAGACATAGTCAAGGTGTATCAACCCCCTCCCCCTTCTTTCCACCCAGGTTGGGATGGTAAAACCCTGCTGGGTGAACTTTTGAACCCTGGGGCGGCACTGACCCGGGGCAGAGACTTTTGGGGTGTTGGACTTTGGGTGATTTTTGGGTTGCTGGACTCAAGAGACTCTTGGGGTGTTGGACTTTTGGGGACTTTGGGTGATTCGTGGCTGGGGGTGGGTCTTTGCTCATGTTTGGTCTATGAATCCAAGTTATGGTGTTTTCCCAATTTAATGCTGATGTCAGTTACCTCATGTTGTTAAAGATTTACTGCTATACCGAGGCTCTATGCTTGCGAGAGGGGAAGAATTGCCTCTTTGAGGCGCCCAGGGGTGTGTGTAAGATTTCCCAGGTCACTGGGTGAGGGCTCGAGCCGGTGTTGTATTATGCTGTTGGGAAAAGACCCCTAGATACTGAACCCGGCCCTTGCTGATATTAACTCGATCTGGCAGAAGGGTTACACATGTCAGGACTCAAGGCTGGTTTCTGATGGACACGCGTCCTGAATTAAATGCTTGGGCAAAAGCAGCATATGTAAAAGTGCCTGTTTTGTCACAACATGCCCGCCAGAGCGGGGAATCGGTGCGGAATGAGGCTGAAGAACCTCCTCTGGGAGGAATCCCTCCAGCCTCTCAGGGTTAACTCCCCAGACACACGGGCACACTCAGCGCCCTGTGCGAGGGTGATTTTATTTCCCCACAAATGCTCTCAAGTGCTGCAGGCTTCTGCGGCACAATCACTGCTCACCACATCCTGGGCCACCCGTTCCCCGGTGCTGTCCGCTTCCAAAGACCGACCTCAGCTAACAGAGCTGAGTGAGAACTGAAACACTCGGCTCCCTCTGAGGCAGCTAACTAGCTGGCACTGGCAAAAGAAGATACGCCACCACCAGCAGCTACAAGCACCCCAGCACTGAATGAGCCACTGGTAGACGGAGCTAAAACCAGCAATGGCACCGGATCATAACAAAGCGTCTAAAAAGACACATCACTTACAAAAAGCCCCAGTCGGGTGCACACTCTCCACCGGTGCAGGGAGCACCTTCACCACGGTCCCCAGCGCTACCTCACTCTAGCCCGTACAGACAGAGTGTAGACGTTTTTTCCACTTTCCCACACCAGTGTCACCATGAACTAAACATGGCAGCAGGCACGGGAGTAGATTTGTGTCACATCATTCATCCCCAATGGGATCAGCGGCTTCATGGCGCTCCACCTGACACCATCGTTTTCAACCGCCCCCGCATCTTCCATGGCTTAATCACCCATAGGCGTATCCATCGCAACAGCTTCAACCTCAGTGACCTCTCTGGGAGACATGGCACTAATATCGCCCCCGCTCCTCCCATCACCACCGCTCCCAAGATATACCAGCCTCTACACCAAAGCATACAGCTACATGGTCTCCGGCCACCAAGGCTCATTCATCACCTTCGTCACCCATCCTTCAGTAACAACCCAGGCAGACCCAGCACATGACGATGAGAACTTACCTCAGTCCAGTTCCGAGAGCTCCTCACAGGTCCTGCAGTCTTCCACAGTTACAGAGGAGGCAGTTTTCCAAGTTTCACCCTGCAGACGACCTAAAACAATTTCAAGAATTATTCAAACACGTGGCTCAGTCTCAGGAAACTGCACTGCAAGACAAACAATATCAATTACTCAAAATACTCCTCCCGGCTACATCATCGAAGATAGCATTGCCCATCAAGGAGGGTATCTTGGAACCATTGGGTGTACTGTGGCAGATGCCAGCTTCTACTCCCCCCACCAACCACAGAATGGACAGAAAATACTTTGTTCCAGCCAAAGGGATGGATTTTCTATTCTCACATCCTCACCTAGAGTCATTGGTCATGGGCTTGGTTCATCACAAATCAAAACTCTCCCAATACAAATCTAGATCTCAGGCGAAAGAGCACAAATGCTTAGATCTCTTTGGTCAATAAGTATACTACTCCTCCACCCTCCATCATCAAAGAGCCAGTCCATAGCAAAGACAGCTCTTCAGGCTGCAGTGGACGGGGCGGATTCAGCAGCTAGGATCACTGCAACAGCAAGAGTAATGTGCAGGGCGCCATAGTTACAATCAGGGGAGTCTGAAAGAATTACAGACAAAGGTGGAGGACCCTCCTATGACGGACCGAGGTGCCCCGCACTCTCGGCAGGGAGGCGGCTGGGGTGGGGCAGCTGGCAGCGGAAGCGGTGATGGTTCTGCAGCGCATGCGCTGGGTGTGGGGATGGCCCCACTGGTGAGCCGCATCAGCGTGTAGCAGAGAGCGGGCACCGTGGTGCCCTTTCCTGAGGCAGCCGGCAGCCAAGAGTGGGGAGTGGAGCCCGGCGGGGGATGCAAAACCGTACCCACAGAGAGGGGCATGCTTACATGGGGGAGGAAGCAGGGGGAGGAAAGTAGGTAAGTAGGGGGAGAAAGCAATGTGGACGGAGGGGGGGGGGGTGGGGACAGCC